GGAGGAGGAGAAGGAGGAGGAGGAGGAGGAGCAGAGTCAATCCGGCTCCCAGGAGGCTCAGAACGAGATCCGAAGACGGCTCCGCGTGGACACGCCTGTGAAGTTCTGGGACGGCGCCGAGGTCAAGGCCGGCAGCCGGCGTCTGGTGAACCCCACGCTGTGGGGCACAACGGAGGGGGGAGAGGAGGGGGAGGAGGCGGAGGAGGAGGGAGGAGGAGGAGGAGGAGGAGGAGGAGGATGAGGAGGAGGAAGGAGGAGGAGGAGGAGGGACCCTAGAGGCGGGAGGAGCGGAGGAGGCGGAGGAGGCGGAGGAGGCGGTGGAAGAGGAGGAAGGAGGAGGAGGAGGAGGAGGACGAGGGGAGTGAGGAGGAGGAGGAGGAGGAGGAGGGGAAGGAGGAGGAGGAGAGGGTGAGGAGGCGGAGGATGAGGAGGAGGAGGAGGAGGAGGAGGAGGAGGATGAGGAGGGGGAGGGAGGAGGAGGAGGAGGAGGAGGAGAGGGAGGTAGGAGGAGGAGGAGGAGGAGGGGGAGGAGGACGAGGAGGCGAGGAGGAGGAGGAGGAGGGAGGAGAGGAGGATGGAGGAGGGGAGGGGGAGGAGGAGGAGGAGGAGGGGGAGGAGGGTGAGGAGGAGGGAGGAGGAGGGAGGAGGAGGGGGAGGAGGAGGAGGAGGAGGAGGAGGAGGGGAGGAGGAGGAGGAGGAGGAGGAGGGAGGATGGGGGGAGGAGAAAGGCGCCGTCCTCGGCCTACGATGCGGGGCACAACGGGGAGGGGGATGAGCGTGTTGGCGGCGCGCGCGCAGGGGGCGGCGTCAGGGAGGGGCCTTCTGACAAACGGAGGGGCAAAAGCTATGCCCCTCCTCGTCCTTTTCCTCCTCCTCCTCCTCGTCCTCTTCCTCCTCCTCCTCCTCCTCGTTTCCTCCTTCCTTCCTCCCCTAATCCTCCTCCTCCTCCCCCTCCCCCCCCACTCCCACCTCCCTCCTCCTTCCCTCCTTCCCTCCTTCCCTCCTCCTTCCCTCCCCGTCCGAGGCCGCTATGCCTCGTTTCAGGATTTCCACGGTTTTCAGATTTTGTAGCGTGTTCCACGGGCTGCAGAAGCGCGCCGCCAGGTACTCCAGAGCTCCGGAAATGTATCCTGAGCCAGTCGTGTCATGAGGTTATCAACGTACGAAAGAGGCGGGGGGGGGGTCTTAGAAGGCAGGGGGGTTCTCAGAAGGGCCCCGAGGCATGTGAGAAGGTTTGTCAGAAGCTTGGAGGGCTTCTAAGAAGACCTCCCCTGCCTCCTTAGAAACTCCCCCACCTTCCTGGAAAGGGCACCCCCCTCGTGCCACCCCCGTGCGCGTGCTGCCAGGAGTCAGAGGAGCGAGAAATCATGCTAACGATGCGGTCAACGTTGATGGTAAGGAGGATCGACTTCAAAAAGTACCCTTGCAATCATTGCCTCCTCGGTCATCGCCGGTCCATCCTACTCGACCGCTTTCGATGGCCAGCCCCGCTCGAGAAGCCTCGACACGGACGTCCGAGGCCCATCGCGATCCTGATCGCGCATCCTTGCTGTCGGTCTTGACTGAGTTCCCAGATGCCCAGCATCTCCGCGAGTCCTTGATGGTGCCTCGCGGGCTCCAGGGGCGAGGAGGGCAGGAACTCCTGGAGCGCCTCCCGAAGCAGCCGCAGCACGACACCGTTCTCGTCTCATCGGGGGTAGAGGCTCTCGACGTGGGCAAGAATCAGGAGGGACAAAAACACACACGCAGGCACACTTATTCGTCGGTTCCCAGAAGATCTGCGAAACTATTGGAAGTGGGGGGGAAGACAGAAACCCAGAAAATATGGGGACATATCGGATGGTTGTTGTTTGCGTGTGTATTTCTGCGTGTGTTTGTGGGCCCCTTCAAAAAGAAGACGATCGCGCTCCGCGCGCCGCGGCTCGGCCTGGAGACGCCGCCCCTCTCCAGGGCGGCGGCGGCGCGAGGGCGCGAGGAGGACGGCGCGCGCGCCACCCCTCGCGGGCCACGACGCGCGAAGGCAGGGGACCCCAGGGGCTTCGACTGCGGAGGGGGGGGGGAGCGGGACACGAGCATCACCCGTTGCAGGTCCGCGCCGTCCTGCCGCCTCGCCCCATCCCACCCCCTCCTCCCCCCCTCTTTCGCCCCTCCCGCTCCACCTCCCCTCCCCCCTTTTGTTGCCCCTCCTCCTCCTCCTCCTCACCCCTTCCCTTCCCTTCCCTCCTCTTCCACCCTCGGCAGTCCTTCCGCTCCCCAATTCCCCACTTCTGAAGGCCTCCTCCTCCTCCTCCTCCTGTCCTCCTCCTCCTCCTCCTCCTCCTCCTCCTCCTCCTCCTCCTCCTCCTCCCAGGCTCTCTGCGAGGGCAGGGCCCGCATCCGCCACCTTTGCAGAGGTCCCCCCCTCCCCCCTCCCCGGCTCGCAGGCCCGCCGCCAGAGAGACCCGCCCGCAGGTGTTCGTCGTCATACTTCCCAGAGACGCCGTCAGCTCCAACGTGGAAGGCGGGCGGCTCCTGGCCCCGTCGTTGTCCTCCGCGTCCTCGTCCTCGTCGTCCTCGTCCTCGTCGTTGTCCTCGTCGTCGTTGTCCTCGTCTTCGTCCTCGTCGTTGTCCTCGTCCTCGTCGTTGTCCTCGTCCGCGTCCTCGTCCTCGTCGTCCTCGCCGTCGTGGCCCCATTGGTGAACTGCACCGACGGCCCCTGGCCCCGCCGGCAGCGGTCGTTGGAGCTGGCCCGACGGCCCCGGCTCCGACGTGGGAGGCGGGCGGCCCCGACGTCACGCCTCCTCCTCCTCCTCCTCCTCGCCTCTTCCTCCTCCTCCTCCTCCTCCTCCTCCTCCTCCTCCTCCTCCTCCTCCTCCTCCTCCCTCCCCCTCCCCATCGTGCTCCCGCTGCAGCGCCGGCCTCATTTCCGCGCTTCCGCTCGTTTCGACTCCTGCTCCAGCTGCAGCGCTGGCGTCATTTCCCGTGCCATGCCACGGCATGCACTGCAATGCTAGGTTGATACTGCGCTTTGCGGTGCTCTTCTACGCCATGCCATACCCATCTTTGCCCTGCTCGACATCCGAATGAGCGAGTAGAGAGGGGATCTGCGCCATGGTAAGGGATGGGAAGGGGTAGGATGTCAGATATGACGCGAGCGTAGCTTGCCTCCTCCCCCTCCCCCCTACCTCCTCCTCCCCCTCCTCCCTCCTCTCCTCCTCCTCCTCCTCCTCCTCTCCTCCTCTCCTTCCTCTCCCCTCCTCCTTTCTCCTCCTCCTCCTCCTCCTCTTCCCTCCTCCTCCCTCCTCCTCCTCTCCTCCTCCTATATCCTCCTCCTCCTCCTCCTCCTCGCCGCCTCCTCCTCTCCTCGCCTCCTCCTCCTCCTCCTCGCCTCCTCCTCCTCCTGATCCTCCTCCTCACTCCTCTCTCCTCGCCCTCCTCCTCCTCCTCATCATCCTCCTCGCCTCTCCTTCTCCTCTCTCCTTCTCATCCTCCTCCTCCTCCTCCTCCTCCTCGCCTCCTCCTCCCTCCTCCTCCTCCTCCTCCTCCTCCCCCTCGCCTCCTCCTTCTCCCCTCCTCCGTCCTCCTCGCCTCCTCCTCCTCCTCTTGGCCTCGTCCTCTTCCTCCTCCTCCTCCTCCTCCTCCTCCTCCTTCTCCTCCTCCTCCCCCCCCGCAATTGCCCAGGCCTGAGCTTCCCCGAGCCTCCGAGACTCGGAGCTTCCGAGCCTCGAGGCACCGAGCTGCACCTCCCCAGGGGCAACGATGGGGGGGGGGCAATGCATGAGGGGATGCATCGATCCCCAATCGCCCACTGGTCGCAGAGAGTGGTTCGATAGCCCGAACCCGCCCATGAACGTGCGGATTCACAATTGGGTGCCCATCGCCGATGCATCAGCGACGCATCGACGATTCCAGGTCGATGCTCCCCCCCCAATGCCTATCCCCCCCACATCGTTGCCCCGTCAGTGCGTCGCGGGCCTCGGCCGTGTCCCAGGCCGCCGAGCGCGCCCAGGCGGTGACCCAGCAGGTCGCGGCCTTGGGGGGCGCGACCCAGAGCGCGAGCCCGAGCTCGAACGATATTCTCGCGCGCATGGCCAAGCAGAACGAGAAGATCCTCGACGAGCGAGCTGTCCTTCATCGCGGACAAGATCGCCATTGCCGAGATGCGCCAGTGTCAATCGAGCGCGCAAGGCGCTGACGCAGCAAGAATGACGGCTTGCTTCGTCAAGGCGCACAGCGCCCTGTGGTAAGTGAGAGAACAGCAGGCCGCCCTCGAGATGGCCTGCAACGGCGGTTTTCTCATGAGCATCGAGTTCGGGCGCATCTTCAACGAAAGGGACCAGAGGCGCGTCGAGGTGGCGGTGGCGCTGTTCTACAGGACCTACTGCGAGAAAGGGAAGTTCCTCTGCGACATCTCCGAGAATCGCGGAGAGCCGCCCGATGACCTCTTCTGGCCCATGCCGAGCTTCAAGCCGAAGATGCTCAAGCTTGCCAAGAAGAAGGACATCGAGCTCGGCGCCGAGAGCGCCCGGCGCCTCAGTTTCGGCCCCCTGCGCCGAGCGCGTCGGCGAGGCCTTCCCCGAGATCCCCTCCGAGCTTCTCCGCCTCCGCGACCTCGCGCTGCCGATCAACGAGGGCCTCGAGCCCGTCGAGAAGATGCCCGAGGAGATCTCCTTCAGCGTGCCAAGCGATCAGCCGTTCGGGATGATCCCCCATAAGGCCGCGTCTTTCGTCAACTGGCGCCGCGAGAACGGCGTGGTGCAGAGCGTTGGCCGCGCGCGAGCCACCGCGCGAGCGGTCGCCAAGTGGCGATGGGGCCCCATGCGCACTGCCGACATGGCCTACGAGCTCCAGCGCGACAGCTACATGGATAAGCGCTCCAATCATGACCACGCAAGCACCGAGAAGCAGCTCCGCTTCGAGGCGCTGGCTCTCGACCGGCGCATCGAGACGCGCGCCCGAGGCTTCGGCGAGATCCACGACGCTCGCGAAAAAATGCCCAGCCAGCGCGAGCCCGAGAAGAGCGAGGCCGACGCGAAGGCCGAGCCAGAGGCCGACAGGTCGACGCCGCAGGACGCCTGAGAGCCGAGCGGCGGCGAGCGCCCGGCGCGCGAGCGCCCCGAGCCACGCGCCCCCGTGCTTTTCGCTGCGCCGCGCGAGCGTCTCGAGGCGCGCGCTCGGGCCCCGTTTGTTTTCAAGCTCCAATCGAGCGCTCGAGCACGCGCGAGCGGCGTTCCAAGCTGCGGGGCGCTACCCCGTCTCTCGCCGAGTGATCCTCGATCGGGCATGGAGCAGTCGAGCGCGCTCGACCCTCCATCCTCGGACCGAGGACCCGAGATCTTGAGCCCCTGCATCTTCGAGCACCTCGGATCCCATAGATCCGACGGCCGTCGCGCTTGGACTCGAAGATCTCGGGTTCGCGATCCAAGGGTCGAGCCTCGGCGATCGTCGATCTCCCCCGTCGCCGTCGTCAGGCCCAGACCGCCGTCGAGGAGGCTCGATCCTCGGATCGAGGATCCGAGATCTTGGCCCCGAGCATCATTGAGCGCCTTGGATCCCGCATCCGACGGTCGCCACGCTTGGACTCGAAGATCTCGGTCTCGCGATCCGAGGATCGAGGATCGACCCTCGGCGATCGTCGATCTCCCTCGTCGCCGTCCTCGGGCCCAGACCTGCCATCAAGCAGGCTCGATCCTCGGATCGAGGGTCCGCGGTGACCCCGAGTATCTTCGAGCTCCTTGGATCCTAGATCCGAGCTTCACCACGCTTGGACTCGAAGATCTCGGTCTCGCGATCCGAGGATCGAGGATCGAGCCTCGGCGATCGTCGATCGCCCCCCTCGCCGTCCTCGAGCCCAGACCGCCATCAAGGAGGCTCCATCCTCGGATCGAGGATCCGAGATCTTGGTTCCGAGCATCTTCGAGCGCCTTGGATCCTAGATCCGAAGATCGCCGCGCTTGGGCTCGAAGATCTGGTTTCGCGATCCGAGGATCGAGGATCTAGCGCCGGCGATCGTCGATCTCCCTCGTCGCCGTCGTCAGGCCCAGACCGCCATCAAGCAGGCTAGACCCTCCATCTTCGGATCGAGGGTCCGAGATCTTGGTCTTGAGGATCTGCGAGAACCTCGGATCCTAGATGCCGGATCGCCATGCTTGGACTCGAGGGCCCTGGGCCCTCGTTCCGAGGATCGAGGATCGAGCCTCGACACCTAGCGGTCGCGCGCGCATCAACGCGCGCGCATTCACAAACACAAAAAACACGCACACGCACGCACGCACGCTCACACACGCACACGCACCCACGCACGCAAACGCATGCACGCACGCACACACATACACACAAACAACACACGCGCACACGTACACACACACACACACACTCTCAAACACACGCACACACACACACACACACACTCACACCCAAACAAACGCACACACTCACACGCGCACGCTCTCACACACACACACACACACACACACACACACACACACACACAACAACAACAATACCAACAACACAAACAACAGCAGCCACAACAGCGACAGCAACTATCATAGCAACAGCACCACCACCAACAACATTTAGCAACAGCAAGCACAACAACAGCACCAGCAAGCAGCGCAACAGCAGGCCACAGCAGCAACAAGACAAACAACAACAGCACACAACAGCTGCCACAACAGCGCAGGACAAGCCCACCGCATCGCCGATGCATCGCCGAGGCCCGTCTGTGCATCTCCGAGGTGGCGCAAGCTATGTGGGGCAACGGGCGCGAGCTCTGCGGTGCAAGCATTGTTCGGGTCAAGCCCGCTGAGGACGCAACGCTTTCCGTGGCCCACTTAGGATCGGGCATTCCAAGCCCCTTTCTCCGCTCCGGCAACGAGGGTGGCCGAGTCAGACAGCGACGATCGCCGCGCGTTGCCCCGGCCTACCGCCGCGCGGTCGGACGGCGAGCGGCGTCGAGCAGCGCGAGGAGACGCAACCAACCGCGCAGGAGGAGGGCACCGGCATGCCCGAGGACAAGAGCCACGACGGCAAGAAGCTCGAGGACAAGAAGGTCAAGCTGGACCCCTGCAAGCTCGAGGACAAGAAGCTACATAACAACTGCAAGAACACGCACTTCGAGAAAAAGATTGCGGACAAGAAGCTGGAGGACTCCGGCAAGCTCGAGGACGAGAGCTTCGACGACAGGACGCACGAGGACAAGAAACTCGAGCTGGACTCCTGCAAGGTCGAGCCCGAGAAGAAGCGCAGCCGCAGTTGCAAGCCAGCAGCGACGAGGCAGCGCGATGCCATGCACTCGGTGCCGAGTCCTGCCTCGCGCGCCGCCGGGGGCTCTGTGCGAGGTGCCTTCGGGCCGAGTCAGGGCGAGGTGCTGGGGGCCCCCTCGGCAAGGCGACCGCCGGCCTCGAGGGCGCCAGAGAAAAAACAGGAGACAGGGACCAGAGCAACAGCACCGACGACAGCAAGAACAAAAGCACACGCACGCAGCACAGCACGCGCAATCAACAGCAGCAACAACAG